AACTGCCCAGACAATTAAAAGCAGCTGGATGGAAAACCAATAATGTGGTCCATCTATAAAATGATAGCACTACTAAGTGGAAAGAGCAGTCAATATGGAGTAAAACCTGGGTTTAGCTTTGTTAAGTCACTTAACCTCTCTGGGCCTCAGTTTCCTTACTGGTATAATAAAGAAGTCGGACTCAGTGACCTCTAAGATCCCTTTCCCCTCTAAGACTATGAACTTATGATCTTATATCTTGGACAGATCCTGCAGATGAACACGGACTTGGCACAGTGGGCATAAGTACGCTGCAGAAAATTACCTAATAAATGGTGAAATTACATTTGTTTAAGTGACATAAAAGATACCATGAAGCAGGCAGAAATCAGAAAAACCTGGAAAGACTTAAATGAACTGATGCTGAGTGAAGTGAGCAGAATCAGGAGAACATTGTACACAGTAACAGCCATGTTGTGTGATGACTAACTTTGATAGATTCATCTCCTCTCAGCAATGCAAGGATCCAAGACAATTCCAAAGTCTCATGGTGGAAAATGCTGTCCACATTCAGAGAATTCGAACTATGGAGTGTGGATGCAGATTGAAGCACACTATTTGATCTCTTTTTTTTGTTTGTTTCTTCTTTCTCGTGGTTTCTCCCATTTGTTCCAATTCTTCTTTATTACATGACTAATGTGAAAATAGGTTCAATATGAATGTATATGTAGAGCCTATATCAGATTGCATGCTATCCTAGGGTATGGGGAGGGGAGAGATTGGGAGAAAATTTGGAACTCAAAATCTTATGCAAGTGAACGTTGAAAACTAAAAATAAATAAATTTTAAAAATAAAAGATACCATCAGAGATGTATGAGTAGAAAAGAAAATGTAGGATGAGCAAAGACTTAATTATCCATGTGCTATAGTAGCACCCATTTAATGGCAAAAGACCTAGAACACAAAGTCCTGCTCTGTTGGCAAGAGAATCCACATCAATGAGATCATAGTTCCACTCAAGTCTTAAAAAGATATCTTATCATATTAATTTTCCCATAGATTCTATGATTAAAATAAATCATTAACATAAAATCATAGCATAGAATGATGAGCTATTTCAAGCTAAAAAGGCCCCTACAAGTAATATGGTTAAAAACTCCCTCATTTTATGGGGATGGAGGTCCACAAAGGCTAAGTGATTTGCCCTTAGTTATACAAGGCGTTGTTGGCAGAGTCAGGACTGATATCCCAAACCTTCTGATTTCTAGTTCAATTGTTCTTTCCACTAATGTTCTGATAGGGACCCTAAGTTTTGAATTCTATTAAATTTTCAATCCTTTTCCATAATATTCTATTTTTGCTGTTCAGTCATTTTCAGTTATGTTTGACTCTTGGTGACCCCATTTGCGGTTTTGTTGACAAAGATACTGGAGTGGTTTGCCATTTCCTTCTCCAGCTCATTTTTACAGATGAGGAAACTGAGACAAACAGGGTTAATTGACTTACCCAGGGTCACACAGCTAGTAAGTATCTGAGACTAGATTTGAACTCACAAAGATGAGTCTTCTTGATTCCTGGCCTGGCATTCTATCTACTTGGACACCTACCTGCCTACTAGCCATGATACAGCTGTAATAATGATGTAATGCCTTGAAGACTGTGGCTATGATAATGGAGTTTGTGCTGGCAGGGCCCACCCAAGGTGAAAAGGCTTGAAGACAAGCTTACAACATAGACTTGGTGAATATTGTCCCAGGACCAATATATCTAAAGGCTGACTACTAGAAGATTGACTATCAAGTGAGCAATCATTTTTAGCCACAGTAACTCATTAAAGATTTAAAAGTACCGAGAAAACCAAATGCATATTAACCTTTAATGGATTGGCTTGATTTTGTGATTTATTCTATAACACTGCCTACATTTTGTATAACTACCCAAGTTACTTTCCTTGTCTGTAAGTTAGGTCAGTCTTTGTCTTTAAGTCAGAAGTTCATAGGTTCAGTTCAGTTTTCCCTTCTGAATGAGTTTAAAAGTTCAGCTTTCCTGTAAATCATTTTAATTAAATATAACCTATTATCTTTGTTCTTCTAGCAGTATTTGTAGGATGCAGGAGGACTTCATCCATCAGAAGGGAAGGAGGGGTTGTTGCTAGCCCTGCGTTCCCAATCTCCAGCCAAGTATATTATTCCTCATGCCTATGATGCTAGAGGCTCTGGAATCAATCATATTGTGTTCCCCATCTATGATGCTGCCTTCTGTTTCGGGACGTTCCTCTTTTTGTCTATAGAAGAGGGCTGTCCCCCTCATTCGTGGTCTTAGCTAAGTGAGGAGGCTGAGATTCTGTTTACTGGCAAATTCATGCTTTGCTATTGATAATGATCAGAATTTTGCGTCTGATGATAACAGTACAGAAGTCCTCAATTCTAGGTGATTTCCTTCAGCTTCCACAGTGAGAGCAGTTTTTAGACAGTTAAATATTTAACTCTTTGGATTCTTAGTGTAATCTCTAACGATAGAAATTAGCTAGGAACATGTAGATATCTACATTATAAATGAAAATTGATCATATAAGGAAGTCACAGATATTTTTAAGAACAGTTTTGAAGTTCACCTCAGAAAGAAAATGAGATAATTGGAGAAGTGGTTTTTTTGTTATGTTTTGTTTTGTTTTACTCACAAACTCAAAAACAGGAAAAAGATAACTTCTATATACGATGCTTTGTCATCCTGATTTTCAGTGCTAGTTAAGCAAACATCATATCACTGCGAAGATAACTGCAGCTTAATTAACATGGACTTTAATACTTAATAAATTCATTATAAAAATTCATACTTTCAAAGAACAACAAAAACAACTTTTGGAAATATGATTCCTAATCAAAGTATAAGAGATCTAAGGTTCATAGACTACTAAAAAATCTTATCACTGTACTTGGTGAGCACAAAACAAAACCAAAAAAATGAAATCCACGACATTCTATTAGACAGAAAACAACTCTCTGTATGCAATCAGATCATTGATTGGTTAGAGCAAAGGTTAAAGTAAACAACAAATATATGACTGTGATAGAATACTATTGTGCGGTAAGAAATGATGAAGGGGATGGCTTCAGAAATATCTGGTAAGATGCAAAGTGAAGTAAGCAGAACTAGAAGAACATTGTATACAGTAACAGCAATATTGTAATAATAACCAACTGTGAAAGAGTGTGAAAGCTGCTCTGATTAATACAATCACCAACCACGATTCAAAAGGACTCATAATGAAAAATGCTGTCTACCTCCAGAGAGAGAACTGATGAATTGAGTACAGATTGAAGCCTATTGTTTTTCTCTTTATTTTCCTTGCCTTTTTTTTTTCATAGCACGACTAATGTAGAAATATGTTTTGTATGACTTCATATGTATAATGGGCATCATATTTCTCACCATTTCAATGGGAGGGGAAGGGAGAGAAGTTGGAACTGAAAATAAAAATTTAAAATAAAAACGACAAAATAAATACTAAATTAGGAGAAGGCCAAAAGTGAAAGGCCAATCCCTATATATGATTGCAGCAACTATAAACCATGTTTTAAAACAAGTTGTCAACTTCAAATAACTTCTTGTTTTTTTGAGAAATTTAATGGATGAAAAACAGTCACCATAACACAGAGGCTGAAAGAGTCCTGAAATCACACTGGTTAGTAAACACTTAATCTCCTCATCAAGGAGAGAGACAGGGCAGCTCATTGGCAAAATGCTACAGGAACATGTCAGAAGAATTTGTGTAACAGCAAGAAGCAACTGAGGAAAAAACGAATTTATACAGAGCACTGCATGAGATCTAGGTAGATAAACCGGATTATTCTCTGTGTGTCTGCTGATGAAATACAAAGTATAATAACAATAATAATAATGTAATAATAACAATAACTCACAGTAAGCTCGTGAAGTGGGTAATGAAATTATTGTCCTAATTTTCCAGAAGAGAAAAGAAAAATTCAGAAAAGTTAAGTGACATAACCAAGGTCATATAATTAGTTTCAGAATTCAAACTCAGGTCTCCTGACCAGTCCATTATTTTTTTTCCACTGCACTTTCTCTTTATTTTTAATTGAGGGAAAGAGGAGAGGTTAAAAGAAGGACTCTTTTTTTTCACATGCACAAAAGGGAATAGAAGGAAATTCAGGAGGAAGCACAAATAAACAGGCCAGTTTTGAAAGTTAATATATGGAATTATTACATGCTTTTTTTTTAAAGGAAGTGGTATGAAATGGAGATTCACAGTTCCATATTCCAGTGCTTAGCACATTGCCTAGCAAATAGTAAGCCCTTAATAAATGTTTAGTGACTGACTGACACATACAATTTGAAATTGGACAGATCTTTTGTTTGTATGGGTTATATTTGTGGGTTTTACCATATTAGAAATTAAAACATCTCAGTACTATTATAAAAACTGTTTTGACCTGGAACCCTTCAGGGGCCCGAAACCATACTTTGAAACCTTCTGGGGATTACAGTTCAATCTCTTAATTTTATAAACAAAGAAACCGAATTCCCAAGACGTGAGAGATTTGCCTAAGTCGTAAGTGGTACAGCCAGGATTTGAACCAGGTCATCTAATTACAAATCTAATACTCTTGACACTATGCAATAGGATTGTCACATGAAAGACACTGAAATGCTTGAGAACTCTGATCAAAATGGGTGCAGCACACCTCAAACATCCTGGCAGAGAGGAGGTAGACTATAGGTGTGGGATGAGGCATACATTTCTAGACAGAGACACTGTGGTATTTTGTTTGATTGTACTTACTGTTAAGAGAGGAAGCTAGGGGCAGCTAGGTGGCACAGTGGATAGAGCACCGGCCCTGGATTCAGGAGGACCTGAGTTCAAATCCAGCCTCAGATACGTAATACTTACTGGCTGTGTGACCCAGGGCAAGTCACTTAACCCCATTGCCTAGCCCCCCCCCAAAAAAAGAAGTAACAAGTAGCCACAGCTGTACATTAATCTTAAGGAAATACGCACCAGGTCGAGAATTCAGTACAACTCTATGGACATGCATCACTATGTTCAGGCAGTAGAGCTACAAAGATCTATCTCCAGAGCTCCCTAAAAATTCAAAACCAAAGAAGAGTTTCAAAAAATTGACAATTAAAGGAGTAAAAGAAACACATTATATCATGTTTATGTTATCAACTGGAATAAGGTAGCATATGTATTATTTATTCAAACAGGTACTGCAGGCTTTGGTCTTCTCAAAGCCTTTTCAACCGAAAAACCACAAATGATATTTTTTCCCTCATTCAATCTTGTGCTTTATTCAGGCTCACAGAAATGCAGAAAAGTGAGTGCTTTCCTATTAGGTTATGTCCACTGCAATCACAAAATCAATCTCTCCCCCTGCCCCCCAACACATATGCATACTTATATATTTATATATGTTATGATATTATATATTTATGTATAATCAGCTTTCTTTATTAAAGACTAGCATTTGAGAGTGAATGTGTATAAACTTTAAAACTAAAACAGCACTGTTTATTTTACACCCCCCCCCACATATACACCAATATTCAGTTCCACAGGAAAGTTTCTAAATATAGGTCATACCTATAGGGCTACTCCTTGCTTGCGGTTCACACTTATAGATTGTGCTTCCCAGGTGTAATAGCAGCAATATCCTAAGGCCCCACTCAAGGTAGGTAAGGTTAGTTGTTTTTTTTTTTTAAGGTATTGTAACTGACCTCAACATTTAATCGGCTCAGGCCATTGACATGGTTCCCTGGTGTCCCCAGTATAAATTGCTCCCTGCTCTCTGATGCCTGACTGGTGGACCACCATGTACAACATAGATATCCTTAGCTAAATCAACACAGTGTCCTTCAAAATATCCTCCCCCTGCTACAACTGAGTAAATCTCCTTTTGTTAAGTGTCAGATTATCCATGAGTGTTCTGTATTCCAATATCAAAAGTGAGGTACAAGAGCAGTCTGATAAACTCTGGCCTTCAAACACCAAGGGCACAATTACTCAGTTTTAAGACACCATGCAGGTAGACATTTCTAAAATGACAGCTTCTGAGCTAAATGCATTCAACCATTCATTTATCATAATTAGGTTGAAGGCATTCACTGTGTGGCATAGTAAAAACAGTAGCTACAAAACATTCCCCCAACAAACCTGGTAAACTAGTAGAGAAGCACACTTAGGTCCAAGACAACTCACATCTTACACTACTTTTTCTAGGATTCAACTATATGATACCCAGTGTGATGAGACATTTTGACAGTCGAATACCTGACAAAGTCAAATTGGAAAATCAGGATTTCTTATTTGAACAAGTCATTCAATCCCTAGGAGTCTGTTTTCTAAATTGTAAAATGGACTTAATACTATTTACCACACAGGGCTATTTTAAAGATTCAATAAGTAAATGTATGTAAAATGTTAAAAAAAATATATATAGCCTAGTAAACCATAATTGTGGACATCTGGATTGTTTCCAATCTTTTACTGCTGCACCCTGCCTGGGCTACTTCCCAAATATTTTACTTGCCGGTTAGATCCGCCAGAAGACAGCTGTTATCCCCATAGGTTCTAGGGTACCTAGACACTATAGTTCATGAACCCCCAACTAATGTTCCCAGCAGTGAGCCAATTCGCACAATTAGCTCTTAGCAAAGGCATTTACTAAATAGGGAAATTAAAACTCTCCCAGTAATATGTATATTGTCAATGGAAAGGGTACATTAACTTCTGAGTACAATATAATGAGACACACACGTAGGAAATACTTGTGGTTCAGTCAACTAACTCACAACTTCAGGACTATTACAAGTCCCTGAGACCCTCTGTCTTTGTAGACTTCCCACAAAGCTATATAATGGATACATAGACAGTGATCACGCCCATCCCCCAACTCCCTTAATGTTTTCTCCAGAGGCAGTTTTAGACTGGAACTCTAGAAATGCAAAACTCTATTTAAAGCACCAGGGACATGACCCATTTTCAGCCCAGCCAATCACATTCCCTTTTAGATTCACTCAGAGCAGGGTGTTCACATTTTGTAAAGGGAATACTGAGTGCTGTTAGCAAGACATTTCATTACCTCTTTTATCTACTCCTTGCTGTCTATGACATCAACTCCTATTATTACAAATAGCACTATTCTGAACATTTTTGTACTAATTACTTTTTTTTCTGTCTGGTTATTTTCTTGAGATGTGTACCTAAAGTAAAATTATTGGGTCAAACTGTAGGAAAAAATTTCACAGCTTTTGTTACATACTGCCAGATTGCATTCTTTACTCAACCATATTCTCAGTAACACTGAGAGGCTTTTTAAATTGCTTTTGATGATTTAACAGGTAGATGATAATACTTTAAGGTGGATTTGATTTACATCTCTTTAATCCTCAGTGAAATTACGCATTTTTCTGAGTGACTAATTGGTTAATTTTCAACAGTAGTAAATGAGCTACAGCAGCTACCCAACAGGGCTCATTGTTATTCAGTCCTTTCAGTGGAGACTCCATTGGGGGTTTTCTTGACAGAGATACTGGAGTGGTTTGCCATTTGTGTCTCCAGCTCATTTTACAAGTGAGGAAACTAAAGCAAAGAGTGTTAAGTGACTTGCCCAAGGTCACACAGTTAGATGAATCTTCCTGACTCCAGGCCTAGCACTCTATCCACTGTGCCACCTAGCTGCTACCAAATGGGGCTAATGCAGGTTCAAAAAAAATAACAGCAATGTCAAGATTTAAAAGTTACATTTGAACAGCAAGATTATCTGAATTATAGAAGGGCGATAGTAGCATTGACAAGAACACAACCATATTATCCCTTCCCCATGAAATGTCAAATTTGCTTTCTGCTCTACTTTCTTTTTCTTTTCCCAAGAAGCATGTTAATTATCTCTTAAAAGAAAACACAATACTCAATCTTTTTGTAATATTACCTGCTTGGTTAAAAAAAATATGATGGCATATTTGGTATATTTCCAGTATATGCATACTGGAGTGTTTTTATTCTTTAGATCAAGTATAGTGGATACTTGGTACTAAAAGGTCGCTGTTAGAGATAGGTGGATACAAGATTGGGCCTGGATTCAGGAAGATCTGAGTTCAAATATGATCTCAGTTACTAGCTGTATGACCCTGGGCAAGTCACTTAACCTGTCCTCAACTGTAAAATGCAGAGAATAACAGCACCTTACTTTGTCACGAGGATCCAATGAGATAATATTTGTAAAGCTTTTAGCATACAGCCTGGTACATAGTACACGCTCAATAGATTCCATTGCATTCCATCTCTGCCATATGAAAAAATCACACACTGGCAGAATAAAATAACGTGTATATGAGACACATGTGTCAAGATATTAGAAGACACCTTGTTTTCCCAGAGCTAAGGTCCAGCAAGCAAGCTGTGTGCTGAGCTTGGCATAACGACAATCCTTTGCGCTCACCCTCTGGATGATCTCAGAATTGTTTCTGGTCACGAATGAAGACCTGCTATGAATCAAACTTGTCACACTGTTGCTGTTATCCCTCACTGTCAGGGCTACAGCTCACTGAGTAGCCACAGGTAAAAGTATTAAGATCTCCTCACACTGCCTCAGGTCCACTCCACTAGGGCCGGCCTCTGGCAATACGTCCTTGCTTGGAAGCCCTTTTCCTCACTTTCAAATTAAACTTCTGTTTGATTCCTGACTCTCTTGTCTCTAGCCTGCTTTCACTTCCAGTCCAGTTGACACAGGAGATAACAGTTTTAAAGGAAAAGTACAAATCAATCACTTTTTGTTGCTTCATAAACAACTAGATTCTGATCCACCCATGTCCAGCATGCCCAGTCTTGTGGGGAGGGGAAGTGGAGAGTGAAGATGGCAATCATATATACTTGAAAGAGAAAGCCTGTTTCTTGGCTGGCATGAAATAATTTCCTGCCTGACAATGAAATATCCTGACATTATGAAGTTCCATAACTGTTGATTCCTAATTGATGATAAATTGTTTTTCTCCAAGCTGTGTGACCCTAGGCAAGTCACTTCCCCCTGTTTGCCTCAGTTTCCTCATCAGTAAAATGAGCTGGAAAAGGAAATGGCAAACCACTCCAGTATTTTTGCCAAGAAAACCCCAAATGAGGTCACAGAGTGTCAGACACGACTGAACAACAAACAAAAAGCTGTCTTTCCAGTCTTCTTACACTCTACTCCTTTCCCTACTCCAGTGACTAACACTGCGATCTCCCGACCGCATTTCTGGGGCTGTTCCCCCAAGCCTGGCACATCTCGGACTTCATCTCTGCCTCCTGGTTTCCCTGGCTTCCTTCCAGTCTCGGCTAAAGTGCCACCATCGCCTTTCCTCTGCAACTACCCCCAAATTATCCTGTATGTTTTGCATGCCGTCCCCACTAGACGAGACTGTGAGCTAATTCAGAGCAAGGACACATCCCCAGCACTTAACACAGTTACCTGGCACATGTAAGCGCTTAATAAATGTTTGTTGACTTGATCTGGTGCAGGGCAAAAGAAGAATTTGGGATTCCTAGGGCCTGAATTCAAATCTCAGTGGGGTCTTGGGCAAATCATTTCACCTCTCTGACGCAGGCAAGTTATGTAACCTCTGAGCCCCAGTTTCCTTCTTGGTAAAATAAGGGCAAGGGTTAGATTCCACAGCCATCTCTAAAAGGTCGCTTCTAGCTCCGGTTCCAGTCAGTTCCTAGAAGTGTCCCACCACATACAGACCCCTAAAGGCAAACAAGTGCCCTGAGAACAGAGCGGATCAGGGAGCTGGGGCAGACCTTAGGTGGCAGAGGACGGGGAGGCAGAGGTGGGGGGGGGGGGGGAGGTAGTATTGGAGCCCACCCTCCCCCCCCCACAGCGTTTTCCGGGGTGTGCACCTCCTCTAATACAGTTATTCAGTTCCCTAGCTCCCCCAGCTTACCGCCAGGGCCTGGGTCACCTTAGTCAGAACCCGAGGCCCGCACTCACCCGAAAGAAGGTCTTGGGAGGGCAATGGTGTTTTAGGGGAAGGAACTCCGAGATCTGCAGAGGCTGAAACCGCCAGCCCTGCGCATGCGCATGCCTCCTCCGACCCTCTCCCAGTCCAGCCCGGCTTACAGGAGCACATTTGCCCTAGTTGGAAGGGGGCCGGTGCTCTACTACCAGAAGCGGTCCTTTGTAGCCCCACTTAAAAGTCTTCCTCTTTCAAAGGCCTTGGTGGCGCAGTAGAAGAGAGCCCTGGACCTGGAGTGAGGAAGATCGGAATTGAAATATGACCTTTGGTGCTTATTATTAACTAGGTGACCCAGATCGAGTATGTCTCTCCGTATCCCGTTTTTCTTACCCGTGAAAGGGGATAGTAATAGCACCTACCTCACAGGTTTTAATTGTGAGAATCAAATGGGATAATATTTGAAAAGTACTTTGCAAACCCCAAAGTGGTTTTTTAAAAAATTATTGTTTTTGATTTTTAGATGTTAAAGAGTCTGGGACAGACTCTTAATCTTTTTGTGTGGCACAGACTGGTCTGGAAACCTAGTGAAGTCTATGGACTCTTTCTCAGAATGAGGTGTTAAAATGCATAAAATAAAATACATAGGGCTACAAAGGAAACCTATTGCATAAAAATATCAAAATATTTTTAAAAACAGGTTCACGGATTCTAAGTAACGAAGCCCTAGTGGGGAGAATGTGTAAATGCCTTCTTCCCCCACAGGCTCTCCTATTCAGTTCCTGTGATTTAGATCTGGAAGGAATCATAGAATATAAACTAACTTTGCAAGGGTAGGGACTGTCTTAGTTACTGGTATTTGTATTTCCATCACTTAGCACAGTGCCTGGAATATAGTGAACACATGTAATAAATCGTCTATCTATGTAGCTCTGCCTCACTTCTCTGTAAAAAGGGGATAATGGCTCCTACTTACCAGGGATGGGAAGCTAGCACAAGATAACAGAAAGTATAATATGAGGTAAATCGAAGACAAAGAATCGATTAACAGTGAAGGTGTCATTGAGATTGAGACACCTGAATTAAATGCCAAGCTAAGAAGTTTGCATACTATCCGAGAAACAATAGGGAGCCACTGAAGTGTTTTTTTATAACGTTTTATTGATGTGTTTTGTTTTTATATTAGGTTTACAACTTACTTCCTCTTCATAAAAGGTCTTTGAAACAAAGTAAAACAATTGAGTAAATTAAGTAAAAATAATAGTAGTTTTACTTAATTTCCTTAAAGGGCAGCTAGTTAATACAGTGGCAGTACTGGGCAAGTTACTTAATTTCTGTCTGCCTCACCTTCCTCATCTGTAAAATGGGAATGAGAGTAGCACTCACCTCACAGGGTTGTTGTGAAGATAAAATGAAATATCTGTAAATTATTTTGCAAACTATAAAGCACTATATAAATACTTATTATAAAAAATAATGATTTCATCTGAAAGTGCATGCAACATTTTACATATGTGAAATAGTGTTTCTATTTTTAAAAAAAATTCACAGACATCTATTTTCTCCCTCTCCTATCTACCACTCTATTGGAGAAAAATAAATTTCTAATCCCTCCTTAAATTTACTTTAACCTTTTCCCCGGTTCCTATCTGTGTCCCTGTTGAGTTAAATATATTTCTACAACAGATTATTTGTGCGTGCATTCCACCCTTTTTTGACCAGTTTAGATGAAAGTAAAGGCCTGCTCCCCTATCCCTTCCATGTTTGTATATCGCTCTACTTATACAATCCAATTAGATGTCTTAACACATTCCCCCATCTTTTCTCTTATTTTCCTTTAATGTATCCTTTCTCTTCCCCTCCTTTTTCTTTTTTCTTGCTTCTTCCAAACACAAGACTATATAGAGGGTTTTTTGTCTCATTGAAAACCTCTGTGATTCCTTGGGACTGACAGGATCAGACTTGTCCCTTTCCTCCCCATTTGAATCCCCACTCCTATACCTAACTCTATGTATCTCAGCTTCTTCCTTTTTTTCTGCTCCAAAGAATCCCTGGGCCTCAGTCCAGGCCTGCCTCTAAGTTCTCTTGATCCTGATTCAAACCACACCCCAAGTTCTGCTGGAATGTATTTGTCCCTTTCCCCAGCACACTGCCCCAACCTTCTCTCGCACATCCTTACTTGATGGCTTCAGTCAAAGGTATGTAGCCTCCCCTCTATGGCAGGCTCCAACAGACTGGTATGACTCCCACACGGATTGCCTGCCTCTGAGCCTGGTAGAATAACTAGCCATGTTGAAAACGCCCCAGTAGAGGGCTCCATAGACCTTATGCTGCAGCAATAGCCAGAAAGATCTGTGACAAAATACTTTGTTTTTTAAGGGAATTTGCTCTTTTGTGCTAAGCAAACTTTTGAGCTAGGCATCTGGGGCTAATCACTCTGACCCTTGACAGCACCTGGAATCCTGCTGGACTCTGTTGCTGACTCTGGCCTAGCAGAGATTGTTTATGGAGCTCTACTCACTGCAGCCTGGGACAGGTGGTATCCTCATCTTTGAAATGAGGTTGATAATACAGGGTATCCCAAAAGTCTTAGTTCAGTTTAAAGCTTATTTAAAATCGCACCAAGGGCTTGTAATCTAGCCAATAGCTCACAAATGTACAGATTCCTTAAGAGTCTGGCCAATATGGCAGATTCTTTAAATCTTACCCCCATCGATGATCTAATAAACCTTGTCTTTGGCTGAAAAAACAAGCAAACAAAAAAACAAAAAATAAAAACACCACACTAAGACTTTTGGGGTGCCCTGTACACATACACAGCATCTACATCACAAGGCTGTTGTGGTGCTTAAATGAAATCACATATGCTTAGAGAGAGGAGAGTTGATCAGCACACCCTGATTTTCCCCAAGTCCAGGTGATGAGATCACAGGTGATACAGGGAAAGGAACAGACAGAAGGTGTTAAGATCTTAAATGAAATATAAAGCAGGACTTAGGATTCTTACCCCTTTAAGAGGTTTGAAGAAGTTTTCTGATCATTGCTGTTGGAATTAGAGGGGAGCTAAGCCATTGGGCTAGCTCACAATTAGCCATACTCCCAGGACCATTTAAAAAAATCAAGATACATTCTAATTAAGCAGTCAAGGCAAGAGAAAGCTCTAAGGAATGTGAGCCCTTGAGAGGAAATCATTTCTGCTCTGGGAGGAGAGGAAGTGGATTTCTCTGCCTATGGCAAGAGTCCCTTCAGACATGATGTCTTACAGCAGAGCTATTCTAACAGTTGATACCACATGTCACAGGGAATGAGCCCAGGTAGTAGAGGCAAAAGAGAGCTCTGATGAGTGTGAACTTTGTGAGTTGAACTTCAGAGAGTCTGACTGAGTGACCTGATCAGTAGAGACACTGAGACCAAGAGGAGCAGCATTAGAAGGGAAAGGACATGGGGGCTCTGTAGTTTTGTGTTAATTGCCATGGCCACGTATATTTCCTAAGTTTGTGCCTCTCTAGTAACGTATTCTATATATATGCCCACTTTTCCAAAAAAACACAATGGCTATTTGTAGGAGAGTACAGCACAGGACTGTGGGGAGAAATGCCTTGCCACTATTGTTCATATAATGCCATCTCAGTAAATGCCCTTGCTTTGAGGTAAATGTAGCTACAGGCTGACTATTAAAGCCAAGTATACCAGTAGGGGCTTGTGAACGATAGTTTGAGGACTGTGGACCCACAAACTGCTTTCAATACCAGTTTGTTGCCTCCTGGGGATCTAACCTGTGAGTGTGAGTTGGGGAAGGGGGTTTACTGGAAAGGGGTCACTATCCTGTATTTAAAGCATTTTTCAAACTTTAAATGCTATATTAATATCAATTGTTGTTGTTGTTGTTATTATTATTCATGGTGCCCAGCATAGAAAAATACTCTATACTGATCCGGGAGTTCTGGAAGTTCTGTCTGGCAGCAAAAGGGTCTGGGGAGCATTCAATGTTATCTAGGGCTGTGTGGAGTATGGTCTGGGAGATGGTAGAGACTGTAAACAAAAAGATAAGTCAGGAGGCAATCATAGAAGTCCAGGCAAGAGGTCATAGGTGTGGTGGCTGATTGAGGTTAGTACCAAATCAGTAATCAGGGGACAGGGAGTATCCAGTAAGTGAGCTAACTATTTATATGCTTCGATCTGTCTCCTTAAAGCTTTGACCTTATGCATGGCACGTATACATGTTTTCTGTCCTGCCTTTTACTACATTGGTATAGACACAAGCTAGATCAATTTTACTCCTTCCTGACTCAGACATGATGATATAAAATGGTTTGAAGTTTCTTACCATAGGACTACCATGTTCCCACAATGCTTTGGGAACAATGATCTCTGTGCTGGGAAGAGGACTTTGAACATCTGATACCAGCAGGTCGTGTATGAGCATGTTATGTAGGAATATCACTGAGGTGTGAAGTTTTTTTTTTTAATTGGACAAGTAGGGCCCATTTTCTTAAAAAGAGCTTTAAAAAATTGTGAACTTAAGGATCAAATACAATATACATTTCCACATATAGAATAGGACACAAGAAGAGGGTTTTATATGAAACTGCAGGTCTCTATTATGTACATCTTACTTTTCTTTTTAAATATATAATCAATTCAACCTGTAGCTTTCAAAGCTATCCTTTTTTTTTCTTTCTGGCCTTCCTTCTATTATTTTCTCTCCATTTGTAAATGATGCCTCAGCAATCCCTCTTTTCTTCTTTTCTTTTTCTTTTTTTTGGCTGTCCTTCATATCCCTATCTTCCCTTACTCTCACTCCCCCCAAATGAAAAAGAAAAAGAAAGCCCTTGTACCAAATACTCAGAATTAAATAAAAAGCATTTCCACATTAGCTATTTTTGAAAACTTTCAACTGATTTTGCATCTTAAGTCTATTATGATGTGAGTTTTCAAAAACAGCTCTGAGAAGAAGAGAAAGGAGGAAACATGGGGAGGGAACATGGAAAAGCACACTGGATTCAGATAAAGAAGACCCAAGTTTAAATGAGTGGATAAATATTTATTAGACCTTTACTATGAAATAAGTGCTATATTAATGCTGGGCATACAAACAGAAAAACAATACAGCCCCCTTGCTCTTATTCTGATATGAGACATA